AAACAAGATGTTTGAACATTTGGGAGGTAATTATATTGCAAAGAAATCGTACCTTAATCGAACCTGACACTTGCAACATTAATGTGGCAACTCTATTTGTTGAAACTAAATAATGACCATTAATTTCTTCAGAACTGCAATAGGGGCTGGCTGAAATAGTACAAACAAAATCCACTTTATATCAATAAATAAAATTGAAAATAATGTTTTTAAAACGACATATTCGTCACGTATAACTATAATGATTATTAATTTGAAAATAGTAACTATATTTTAAGTATGTTTACAATTTTAATTTCATACAAGCAATGTTTTGAATTCGAATATTTGTGAGTGCATTTAAATTGTTAGTCGTTCACTTTTAAATATTTATATATTTAATTAAATGACTAGTAATAATTAATTAACTGAATTGTATCTGCTAAAAATTAATCGATGTCCACGAGGCCTAGCCTAGTGTGGACGTCAATGTTTACTGTAAATTGCATTGGTAGGTTCTTACAAATAAATAATTTTTTTTTAGACGAATGACATATTTGGATACATTTTGTCTCAATAATATCGATGTATTTAAAATATCTAATGTTAGATCAAAACTTGATAAATGAATTATTTCTCATTTAATTATATAGTATATTTTTTATAAACAATATTCTTCTTTCTCACATATTAATATTTACTTAACATACCTACAAGTAACTGCTTTCATTTATCAAATAAATTTAATATTTAATTTCCCATACATATATTTCCGTGGTATATTTAAGATTATTATCAATAGTTTTGTATCCTCAAACTACAATATTTCCTCATACCTTATTTAGGGTTTATACATATTAAACGTAAGTACTTGGTGAAAGGGAAAGTTTTGTTCGCAACCAGTTCAAATACTCTCACGATCAAATAGAAATTTTAAGTCCTGTCTCACTAATGTATAAGGACGAGAAAACTTGAAAATTCTAATCAATTTTAATATACAAGAAAAAATATATACAGGGTGACTGGTGAATTACTATCGATACTTGAGGACGTGATATTTGACGATCATATATGACAAAATAAAAATTAATATAACATAAATATTAATAAACTTCTAAGTAAAGTTAACCAAAAGTTATGTAATTAATTACGCATCGTGTGAACACCTTACAGATTAGGTATACACACACACACACATACGCGTGCGAAGGCGTGGTGTTGTATCAGCACGCCGCCGCACGCGTCCACACTTGGAACACTTGGAACGTGTCCACACTTTATTTATTTATACGGAAATTTGGTCAAAAATTAAGTACCTATTTTTTTTACATAATTCGAATGAGAATCATGTACCGAGTATGCTCCTTAAATATTGATAGTAATTCACCAGTCACCCTGTATAAATTTGCGTAGGTATGTACGCAACGTTATAGTAAAGAGGATAAAAGATGATGGATTATTATTATAAGAAATAATAGCACGAAAAGGCAAAATAAACATAAAGCATACTTAGTGTACATGTCATAGATATATATTTACAAATCCCTACTAATATTATAAATGAAAAAGTAACTCTGTCTTTCCGTCTGTCTGTTACGCTTTCACGCCGAAACCACTGAACTGATTTTAATGAAACTTGGTACAGAGATAGAGTTGACCTTGAGAAAGAACATAGTTCTTATCCCAGATTTTTGAAAGGTTCTCTTGGAAACGCGATATAACCAGTATGTATGTATGTTTGAATATTTAGAATTAATCATTATGCCAAAGAGGAATCTATTATACTCTGCGATGTAATAAAAGTATTGCTAACAATATATTTAGAGAATAAGACTTTTGCGATTTAGACTATATTAATATTTTCGCATGTACTACCCGTTTTTATTATTTTAAGCTACATACTCCCGACGTTATAGTTACTTTGCTTTAAAGTCGGAATTTTTGTAATACAATAATATTAGTTTTATTTATATTTAGAGAACTCTAAAATATGAAGTAATAAATATTGTAATCGATTTCTCTTAGTTAATGGAGTTAGTTGAAGATAAAATATAAACGTCAGTTAATAACCACAGATTATTAATATTAATATTAATACGTAATGTAATCTGTGGACACAGTTAATTAACTATTTAAATTTATTTGATATAAAATAAGAATGAGAAATAGTGATGTTATATTGGAGAAAAGTTTTTTAATCCCTACTTATATTATAAATGCGAAAGTAACCGTGTTTGTCTGTCTGTCTGTCACGCTTTCACGCCAAAACAACTGAACTGGTTTTAATGAAATTTGGTACAGAGATGCAGTTGACCTTGAGAAAGAACATAGGATAGTTTTTGTCCCAGACTTTTGAAAGATTCTCTTGGAAACGCGATATAACCGAACTCCACGCGGGCGAAGCTGCGGGCGGAAAGCTAGTAGAACATATTAAAAATGTTTAAGAAATGCATTAAGTGCGATGTTTTCGTTGTCTACTTATGTAAAGAGAAAATATATGTACTGAGATGTATTTACTTATAAAATGTCAATTCAATTACAGAACAATATATAATTTTCATATAGATTTTGTTCTATACTAAAGTGTCAACGAATGCATTAAATAAGATTATTACACCAAAAACAACAGAAAAGAATCACTTATTTCCTGGAATTGCAAAATATTACTAAAATTGTTCTTACATTATGAGCCTTTCAAATCCGTAGACTCGCTTTAAAAAAGAGAAAAAAATGTTTCATACAAGTGGGACAGTAAGATCTTAATGTTCTGACATAATAAACGAACACTGTATGTATACATGCGAGGTGTATTATAAACTAGATTTGCCCGCGACTTCGTCCTCGTTTATTTCGGAATTACATAGTAATATATAAAAGAAAGCCCACAAATGGGGCAGTACCCAACAATTACAAAACAACAGAAATGTTATCAAAATTAAGAATTACGTTAACATGAATAGTTTGGCTGTATTTAACAAATTAAATACAGAAAGAAACTGTTGTCTGTAGATATTGTCTATCATAATTCTTTTTTTTAACGAAAGGAATGCTTATTGGTAAAAGGTAAATTGCGATAATGTCGTTTTGGCTAGGAGTTGAGTTCTCGAGAAAGTAAATACGGTTTTTCGCTTATATGAGGAAAAGTCGAACATTTTCCGGGATGTAAAGTAGCCTATGTGTTATTCCTGGACGTCAGCTTCTTGTAAACAAAATTTTATCAAAATCAGTTCAGCCGTTTGAGCGTGAAGAAGTAACAAACATACACACACACGCTCACAAACTTTCGCAATTATAATATTTGTAGGATAATGTTATTTTTCATATAAAATTAAAGTTATTTTCATTCTAATTATTGTAATTTAGTTATTTCTTATTGTTTAAACATTTAATATTTGTGACAGAGGCAACTAATAAAGGTTTAAGTCGGCTTGTCAGTTATTATTTAAAAAAAAAAACGAAAATATATTTTTTGTAAATGTTTTTACCGCTCTCAATACGAGTTCTTTTCGAGACTACGAACTGATGAAGATAAAGAATGTTGCCATTGACAAATATAAAAATATTAATTATAAAAAATGGACAAAATTTCGATTTGTATTAAAGATTATTGGCCGTAGCGTGATGTTATATAGCGTACAGCCTTCCTCGATAACTAGACTATCCAACACAAAAAGAATTATTCAATTCGAACCAGTAGTTTCGGAGATTAGCGCTTTCAAACAAACAAACTCTTTAGCTTTATAATATTAGTATAGATTGTCTTCTCTTTCTTCATTAAAACTTCTTATATTGTTCTTCATCGATAATAGTAATATCCATAAACAAGTTAAATTTCCATTTACAAGTTAAAGTATTTCGATAACCGTGGTATATATTACAAAACCAATCATTAAATTTCGTCTGTGAGTCACTCGAATCCACATTATTTACCGTATTAATCTAATCTCTCCATTGTTCGTTGACAATGGCGGTTGATGTCAGAATGATTTTTAATTTACGTTGTGTTATCATTACCGATTATTATGTTTAAATTTGATAAACCAGTTTTCACGTTTCATTGAAATATGAATAATATTATTAATTACAAGCTGTTACTAGTGACTTCATTCATTAAAAAACAACTTCTTTCTGTCAGAATAAAGATAGCTATTTGTAGACTGACGTTTGTTTTAAGACATTGCATTTTTTTAGACGTCTACTTAATATACATATATGAAATAGAATTTAGTTGTATTCAATAATTTAATTCAAAACTTTAACAGTAGTTTATTTATTATTTTTTTGATGTAGATTACACTTCAACTAATGATCTTGTGATCTACATATTACGGCAGAGAGAAAGGTCTGAAGACAAGCGTTTGTAGCATATTACGAAATACTTAATCTTCTGACACAAAAATGATCTATTAAATAATTCCCTAAACATAAAATTCACTTATATAATATGTACAAAAAAATAATTGCGAGCAGAATCAAACCCGGGTCTATACAGCATTACAGCCACTTTTCCAAAGAAACTATCATGTTTTTATCCGATTAGATGAGTTAAATTATTGAGAGATAAAAATTAAGTAAAATTTGCGATTTTCATATTTTGTTTTTGTGGAAGCCTATCCATAAAATTTTGCATGATCTTATTTAGTTCATAGATAACTTCCAGCTCTCTTCCTTTTCCCTCCCTTTCCCACTTTTTTTCCCCTCTTCCCTAATCAAGCTTGGCAACAAATCTTCTTAACTATATCATACTACATCTATCAAGTAGGTCGTCTGCTCGGTTGCCCCTTTAGAATAAAAAAAACCCGTCAATTTAGTGATGTCTATACAAGAAGGACAATGAGTTAATGTATCGATGACACTTATTAATGATGGTGGACCTCTTAAATGGTGTATTCTCATACGTGAAATGTAATGCCAAATCGCAATGTGTTCATTGTATAATTGCTGTACATCACCAGACCGATGCCACGGTAGTCTAAACAAGACTAAACATTATATGATAATGATTTCTCAAATTGTTTCAGGTTAACGATATTGAAAGCGAGAGTCATCATTCCGCCAAGATAGCGTACACGGATAGTGCTCTGGAAGACAAACTGTGAGTGAACTACACTTAATAATAGATAAAAAGCCCAAGCCAACAAACTTTAATAATATTATGAGATCTAAGACTTTCGCTAGTATTCATTTAAATTAATTCGTACTACGTGTATTTTATTATTTAAAAAAAATACATACTCCCAAGATTTCGATTACTTTTCAGCAACCGACATCTCGTCTGCCCGTGATAACGGTTGCTGAAAAGTAACCGAAACGTCGGGAGTGTGTAGTTTTAAAATAATAAAATACGCTTATTAATCCGAATAATATTAGTTTCGCTTAAATAACATTTTCTCTTTACATAAATAACTATAAAATTAATACTTAGGACTCCTTTAAAAACATGTAATGTATGTTCCCTACAGAATGTGATCATGTTTATGACAAGACATTTTTTTTTTTACTATATTCTTTATAATGACTTTTCTTGTAGATTATATTCAGTCCAGAAACACTCATTTTTTATCTGTACTCTCCTGCTATTTCTTAAATTAAAATTATTCTTACTTATTATAAGTTAATTATAAAAATAGGATTTAAAATGTTTCACGTACCACTCAGGAAATGCATCTCATTCGACCGAGGCACCGACCACGCCATTAATATTAAACGTCTTGTAGTAAATGAGAATTACAACTACTGTTTACTAGAAATAGTTTATATTAGAATAAAAACTTAAAATACATTGATAATATAACAATTGTTGTAGTATTTAGAAGAGGTATGAAGATAGTTACAAGAATACTTTGAACTTCATTTAAATGTACGGCAATTGACAATAAGTAAGCATGAGGGAAAGTAAATTCTTTATTAAATAAGAAAATTTTTCTAAAAAGTTTTGTGAAGTTAAGTACTCCTGTAAGTTTTTTCCACACTGTACTCGAGATTAAATTCGTTCTGCAATTAAAAAAGTTGTCATTCCTTTTGGCAAAATATTCCACGATTCCAGTGCGAATGAAGCCCTAGAACAAAAAGCTAAATAAAATGTGTCCAAAAATAACATTCAATTTATAATTTATACAAATTCTTGTTTAATTTGAATGAAGTTATTTATAGTAAAGATTGTAATAAAAATTTAAATAAATTACGTAAATATTTATTACAAACGCAATGATAAGTAGCCACATAAAAAAATAGTAACGCTTAAATCACTTACAGAATCTATAATAAAAATGGTATTATTTCTCAACTAGAATTATTAATAAGAAAGTTATATTTTTATAACATTAAGCAACAGTATGCAAGTCGTGTGAATAATGAGAGACAATATAAACGACAAAAACTGTATCAGTAACTTGACACGTATTCATTGTAGTACTCTATGGTTAATATACATTTATATATTTAAATGAAACTAATATTTATTTAAATGAAAATTATATTTATTTAAATGTAACTAATATTCATTTAAATGAAACTAACTAACAAGGTAGTCGTCACATCTTGTCTTAACGATCACGGTTGATGAAAAGTAACCCAAACGTCAGGAGTATGTAGTTTTTGATAAAAATAAAGTCGCGTAGTATATACGAAAAATATTAGTTTCATTTAAATACCTGCGAAAGTCTTAGATCTCATTAATACACATAATAGAATTTCATATTAAATATATTTAAATAATATTTTCACGACACCCTTGGTGTTCTTGGATGGGTGACCGCTTAACATTTGTACCCGTACCTTACTCGTACTTGTATTCTTAGTACGTGGTGGAACTTTCATCGTTGTATGTATCGCTATGCGTATCTAGTCGGGTTTGTTACTACGTACGGCGCGTTAAAAGTTTTCATTAGTTAATCTTCGCATATTACAATATTGAAGTAGATTTTTGACTGAGAAACGGGAATAGGCATACGATTTTAACATTTTTTAAATTTTCATTCTTATAAGAATACATAAAAAAGAATACATTTGTAATGCCTGTTATTTATGAATGTAAAGGATGATATATATTAAATAAAAAATGTTAAATTGTTTAGTTTAAGGAACCTTTTCCTTTTCGTTGCGACGTTAGTTCAATGACCCGTACATGTTTTAAGTTATTTAACAAAGTACCTTACGCTTAATCTTTGCGTAGTTCATAATAACTATTTTTTTAATATAAATAACTTATTTAAAAGTTTCATTATAAGAATCTTGAAAAGGTGTTATTTTTTTCGACTTGTTTTAAACTGCAAATTAGTTTAAACGACTTAGCATTCACGTAAGTTTTGAATTCACACATTGCAAGCAAATTTAAGTCTTATCTTATATTCTTAGAGTATATTATCGTGTATTCAGAGTTACTATGTTGTGTATCGCAGGAAGAGATAGCGCATGTACTGGAGAAACAATATCTCTTTATTCATAATTCCATAGAAACCTTGACACGTTTACAAACATTATTTTTGTTTAAATGAAACTGAGTTTTTATTATTTTATCTCTAAGTCACTCTCATCTCGACTATGTGATCAAGTTGCTATAAAGCAGTGGTTCTCAACCTTTTTAAATCAAGGGACCACTTTGTATTGTTTGTTGTTGGGATTTGACCATGGTGTATAAGAAAATAAAGTTAATGACGAAGATTCTTTACTAATTAAAAACTTTAATAAAAAACTCAATGTCTTTTGTACCAACAAAAATATGTTATTGAAACATTAATGCAATTTAAAAGAGTTTTAAATTCGTTCGTGGACCACTTTTTGAATGACGAGGACCATAGGTTGGGCACTACTGCTTTAAAGGCAACGAAACGTCGGGATTATACATAAAATAATAAAAAAAGCGTAGTATACCAAAAGCTTTGTTCAGACTCTTAAGGAGGAACTAAGTTATAATTAAAAAAGTGGCATCGCTGACAATAAAAATTATTTAAATCTTTATTATGTCTTTAACATAGCAACAAAGGAAAATACAAAATGCCTATAATTTATGTATGAATTAATCAAAATGCGAAAAAAATATCGATAGTATCTTTATTCGGGAAGCTTCGATTATTAATATTGAAGTACCTGTACATACATACATGCAAATTGCAATAATTTATCATGAACTTATGGTTGTTAAAAATAATTGGTATTTTTTTTTTCTCCTTTGGACACTTCACGCATACTTTCAATTAATTTTAGTACCTGACGGCTTGTGTACTTCCATAGTTACAACAATGGAAAAAATTACATAGGTAGGTAATAACAATTACGGAAATAATCATTTACTTTTACAATACATGGACCAGTGGCGGCTGGTGGGTTATCGAACTGGTGGTTCACTTTACTAAAATATTGACAAAAACAACAATTGACATAAAATATGTTTATTTTTTGTACATTAATTCATAACTATATCCAACTCTGATACAAAGTCTATTAATCCACGAAACACTCCAGCATTACTGGACTCAATAGTTTCATCGTGACCTCGCAAAGCTAACTCAAATGCACCACAAAACTTGACACAATCGATAAGACGTGATAAAATGTACCTGTTTTTATCAACTTGTTTATTATACTTTTGGATATTACTTCTATACACAGAATCTAGCTGATTACGAATATCGACTGTGCCTAACACAGACAAACTCATTACATTTTGTAGGTGTACTTGTGAAGAATCGTGTTTTTTATTTTTTCACTTAAATGCGTCAAATCCTTGATTCCAGTTTCTGTCCAAATCGATTCTCCGCCAAAAATAATGCAAGGAAAACAAAAGAATGCATTAAGACGCTCACATCCACACAACCATTTCTTTCTATTATACATTTCACTTTTAAAACTTCGTATAAATGCTTTATTTTTCGATTTACACTCTTGTTTTAAATTTAAAAAGGGCCGTGGCGGCCCGGCCAATTTTATGTTCACTTTACTTTGAAAAATTTTGTTATTTTCTTTAATATAATCAATATTTATACTCATTTTCAACTAATAAAAAACACAGTACAGAATAAAAGTTCTATTATAGAAACGAAATAAAAACTAAAACGAATTACGGAAATAATTATAAACAATAACGAATTAACGCGTCACGCATACAGTGAAAGTTGAAACAATACCAATAACGATTAACGAGATGTCAATCATAGCACCCATCCTTTCGGCCGGCCCCTTGCCGGCCGGCTCAATTCGTCATACATCGGGTGCTCTCGGTAACCTTCGGCCGCTTCGTGCGGTGCGCGAGAACCGACTCGTTACTCGGTACATTTCTATGAACTATCTTTTGTCTCACGCGCCAGGCGTATTGATGCGTGTCTCATACAAGATGTATTAGCAGTCCTCGTGCACTCGCCGGAGCGCACGATATGAGTTTAGTAAAGCGCTCAAACTTTTTGACCATAATTGGAAATTAAATTTTTTATACCTTTTTGTATGTTTAAAAAATAAATATTAAAATGGTAATTTAAAAATTAAGATGACATAATATTTTGTAATTTTTAAATATTTTGAATTGGTGGTTCAGCGCACGGGCGCACTTAAGGTACAGCCGCCACTGACATGGACTAAAAAATTATCAACCAAGTAAATAAACTAATATTTTAGTAAAGAAAATTTTAATAATAAAAGTGAAATTGAACTTTCTGAACTATACTCTAGTAATTATTTTTATTATGTAATAGATATATTTATCTATTATATACAAAAGAAAGTAGTGTTAGTTACACTATTTATAACTCAAGAATCGCTGTTGGGATATGGTTGAAAGTTAGTGGAGAGATAGATTAGAACCAGGAGACGGACATAGGATCATATTTAATTCTGTTCGATCGTAAACAAAAAAAACTTAATAAATTTAAATATTTGGTCATTTATGGCCTCTAGGGCGAAATATAATTTCCCCGGTCAGCTATACATATACTACTAATGCCGAAATTAATGCGAAAGAAAGTTACGGATAAAAACTAGTTTAAAAATAAACCCGCCTTTAAATAACTATCAAATAAAAATACTTAATTATAATATGAACTGTCATTATTACGTAACGCCATTGACATCGCGTGACGCGTGACGCGTGCATACAATAACCTA